TCGTTAAAAACCTTCCTAACGATTTTGGAAAGATGGGCAAAAACATAGATACCCAGAATCGCCTGATCCATGGTAATAAAATTTACAACAGAATTACAAACCATGTTGAGAAAGTTCGGTTTAAACACGTTCAGTTTCAGTAAATAATATCTAAATGCGGATCAGGGATTCTGAGTAAATAAAAAATCACATTTCCAAACGTGTAACAACATGTTGAAGGGTGTTTTCTCGTCAACAATAGGAAGCGATAAAATAAATATAGCATGATAGGAGTAGGTTTTAATTTTTTGCTGACGATTATAAAATTTGGAGCAAATACTGTCTAGACGAGAAAACGCACGTTCAAGTATCTAACAAAAGAGAAATCGGAGATAAAAAAGGGGGAAAATATGAGTTTTCGAATAAATCATAACCAAGTCATTCGGAGCGGATGATGAGTGAAATACCCCCTTTCTTCAAAAAGAGAAGCTTAAATTAAACTTGCCAATGAGTGACCGTAGGAAACCTAGAAAAGATGATGACGTATCGCCAATAAATTCTCAAGAGATTGAAACTTGTAGTGTGAGTGGAGCAAATTTTGGAAATAGTTTACGAGAAACAAATTTCCTACCAAAAGCAGAAAAATCCCTTCAACCCGAATCCTCGATTTTCTAACTTAACACATCCCATCAGAGAACCACCTTCCGAAACTCTCAATATAAACCGTGAGACTCGTTCTCCTTATTTTTCTGCTCTTATTCCGTGTCCGGTTCTGCTTCTCAGTCAGTTAGTCATTTTCACAGTCTATCAGTCATTACCTTCACAGTCTATATTCGCTCAGTAACATACATAGATACAACATCTCGCTGATTGTACCGAGATCGGGGCTACCATCGAGCCACTTTAGAAGACAAAGGACACCAAATAATCTAAACAAAGCCTACCGAAACAGTAAATCCCTTTTTTTCTTTTTATTATTCGCAAACCTTTAGTAACGTAACTGTCAACGTAGTGCCACGATCAAGGAGTAACCGCCTGTTCAGAGGTTGTCTCCAGAGTCGGCCTTACATAGAAGCGCGTAGATTGTTGGACGAGGCGGAATTCCAACAACACGCGAACTCAGAAAATTCGGTAAATCCTACTGAGAACGTCCATCCATCAGCACCATCACCGGCGCCGCCAGCACCAGCGGGTTCACCACAGCCTCCAATTCGGCTGTTGCCTATAGTAGCGGCTTCTCGATCACCTTTCCGTTCATCCTTCCGTGTATGAATAAATCAATAATTTAAGACAGTAAAATCAAGAATGTAATATTGAACTTTAATATTAACCCTTCCGTCCACTACGAGGGTCTTTTTCGACCCAAGCGAAATTTCAAAGTGCTGTAACTTTTGAAAACGGGCACTGAAGGCGCTATATCCCCTCCCTTATGTAATAATTTTTATCGAAATATTATGATTGGGACTTCAAGTTGAAGGTTGAAAGAAGTTCCATGAATTTTTTCAGATTTTTTAAAGCACTTTTACTGGTCCAAAAAACGCCAAGACGATAACGACCCCCGTAGTGGACTGAAAGGTGCCGAAAAAACGTAGTGGACGGAAGGGTTAAAATGTATTTGAAATGCTTTACTGCAGAAGATTTAAGTAATGGCGCCTAATGAATCGGTAGCTATTTTAGGTAGTGATACGATGACTCGTTTATTTCGAAAATTACTCAATTTATTCATAATCATTTTAGTAAAGAATCGAATTTAGTCTCGAGTCCACGGACTCATGTCTGGATTCAAGTCCGTGTCCAAATTCGAGTATTTTCTAGACTTGAGTCGAATAATTTGAATATTAGATTAGAAATACAATCTAGATTCGAAATATTAATACTAAATTGAAAATATTAGTATTCGAGTACAGAAATATATTTAATACCGATTCCAGCCAAATGGGATTCGAAAAATAGCAATCTTTGATTTTACTCTCTTTGCTAAAAACGAACTTCGCTTTTAGGTAATTTCATAATGTTATAATTTTAATGCAACTGTTTTATTGTTCTCTGTTTCTTTATCATGAAATAGAACTCATAAAAGTATTACAAATCTGTAAGCGCTATACTCATAGTGTTTTTTATTGGCAGAATTGGTGCACACTCAGTGCTCATTAAAGCTGTTGTACATTACTCTAATCTGAATGTAAAAGTAGAATATTTCAATTAATGAAATGCCCAATGTATGTTTTATGAAATAGCACAATAAAATGTATTGAGAATTTCACAGTTTAATTCGTTTCTATATTTTTATTAAGCATACATCTTTACGTCGATTTGTGTACAACGGCTTTAAAGTGCGCTGATTGCGCACTAGTTCTGTCAATAAAAAACACTATCAGCTACACTGCACTCATTGACATAGGGGTGATCCCGATTGACGGCTCAATTGGACACCACCAATCACAGCGACCGGTGCTTAGGAGCTTTGTAGTTTCAAGCGCTGTGAGTGGCTCGTGTCCAATTGAGCCGTGTCCAACTGGGTGCCACCCATCGACATATATGGTCTGTTTTCTGTTCCTGCACTAGATTGTTCTAGAACTCTCTTTCTCGCTTTAAACAAATATCAAACGTATATCTATCTCATTTTAAGTTCTAAAAGTGGACACTAGTTCAGCCACATAAAACAGACCTATGGTGCTAGACGGAGCATGCAGCGAAATCTCTTTGATCTTTCATCTTGACGGACCTAGAAAGAGTAAGGTAGCTAAGTGGGTACGGAACCACAGTATAACTACATACTACAGTAGCGACAGTACAAGCAAACAAAGGGTTTAGTTTTGTTCTGCGCATGCGTTGGCTGTAAAACCAAGAATATGGCGGACTGTCATAGCATTAAAACTGTAGCGACGACGATTGAGACACAATAAACTATGATTGAGAACTGAGTGAATATTGTGTATAATTACACATATTAGATGAATAAAATAGGTGGAATCTCTTGTACTTTTGGGTATCGAATTGATTCTTATCCACTCTCTGGATTTAGAATAGAACGAAAAATCATCCAAGCCTAATTCTATAATTTTGCACGGAAATCGTTTTTTTTTTTTTTTCATTTTTGTACGCAGCAACTACTAAATTTCTCACTCGCTTTAAACGATTACCGTACGTGAAAAATGCGTTATTTTTGGCTGAAATTTGACCTAGAAGGGTTTGAAGAGTGATACTTTCCAGGTATCATATCATCAAATGGATTGAATGTGGCACCATCTCATAAAGATTTACAAGACTTATCGCGAATCACCCTCGTATTACAATAATTAAATAAATACAATTTTTTGTTGTTTTATCCTTTTTTCTATCCTTATCCTATATCCTAGGCAGCACAAATTTGGATACATGTCCAAAACTAGGGCATAAAACGTCTTAAAGATTCATATTATGGCGTCTTAAAGACGTTTTATGTCCTAATTTTATAGCCCTTCTACAATAAGCCGCAAGTCAGAAGTTCTAAGCGATTTTAAGTCATAATCGGTGAAGTTGGCCAATAGCCAATTTGAACGACTTGGTTAAGACTGGTTAAGACTTCTGATGTTCTGACTTGCGGCTTATTGTAGAAGGTCCATTAAACATTGTGCTATCTGAAATTGTCAATAAATTGTTGACTTACAAATATCATGTTTCACATACTGTTTTATGATTTCATTTGGTTCATTCCAAAAATATATTGAAATTAGAAACAAAAAATAGATTTATATTAATATATATAGTGATTATCTAAAATCATATATAGAATTTATCCAAATTTTAAAAAGACTTTATATACGAAATATTATGTCTCTTGATGCCGTTCAACGGTCCGTAAAACCCTCAACATGGCTGACAGTCACGTGATCGGTGACCATCGACATCAAACAAGCCAACTACTGTCGTTACTGTAGTTATACTGTGACGGAATTCTCTTTCTACTCTTGTTCTATTGGTCAAATTATGTTTCAGGAGAGAGAGGACAGTAGTGTATTCTGTGTGTGTGTAAAGTCAGGAGCCATCACAGTATTGACTGGTACTAATGCAGTACGATAATTCTAAACTTATATTATTAATTATTAGATACAAAATAAAACTTGAAATATGATTCTATGTTTATTTTGTGCAAAAGTAACACTCTAGGCACAGATATGACAACTTAATGCCTCAGGGCCTTTGATTACATGATTTACTACTACCCCTCATAATCGCTCTATCTCTTTCTAGATCTGCCAAGATGGTTTCGATGCTAATACTCCGTCCAGTACTATATGTCGATAACTGCACTAGATGATGCACACATGGTGTTCATTATTGTGCTAAAACTCTGTTCCTGCTTAACTTCCACTTTCAAATTTTAAATGTCGCAGTAGCTCTATACCGTTTCTTTGAGACAGTGTAACAAAACCCCATTTTGTGCATAAAATTTGCACTATATTGTAGCCACGGAAACAGGATACACCAAATGAATTTGCTTACTACTAGCCAAATACAGTATGGAATTTGCTTACTACTAGCCAAATACAGTACTGGAAATACAGTACACTGTCCGAGTATTGCACTAGTGGGCGATAGTGCAGCCACAAGAAAAAACGTTATAGGAAACTCCTTCCTGACCTTATTTCTTTAGTTTTACATGTTATAAAATATTACAATATAAAACATTTGATACACTATTAACTAGTCACTTTCTATTAAATTATCTTAATTTCAGGAATATATTTTTAGAATGATGTATTAAATTGGTATAACATGCATTAAAATAATTAATTAAATACATTATATGTATGTTTATATGTGTATCATTGAAATTAAGATAATTCAATAGAAAGTTATTACAATAGTTAGTAGTTAGTACCAAGTGCACAATATAACTATGCCATTAACAAATATTATTACCTTTGTGTAAAAACAGATGGAATTGCAGTCTTTTTTAATCTTCTGAATGATTTATGGATAATTTTACAAATATAGTAATCATCTTCTGTAAAATGATCACTACAAATTCTTGCATTCTTGTAAACACTGATACTATAATCAATTATATTATTTAACCATTTTTTTCGCCTTTTTATATCTGTTGGGAATCTAAAAATATATTTCATTAGTTTCACAAACTTAATAATATTTGTACATGTCACAGTCAAAGTGTGAAATTTAGTAAATGCATAATATACTTACTAGTAAAAAAAATATAAGCATTTACATAAGATTTTAGCAAAAGCATCAACTGAATATAAAAATATCTGATATTTTTAGTAAATGTATTCATTCACTAGACAATGTATACATTTGCTATAACATATACTTACGTTTGTAAAAACATATTACTGTAAAATTTTACAAAGTATGGCACACCAAACTTAATTCTTAATAATAATAATAATAATAATAATATTAATAAAATAATGTCACGTCTAATGAGAATAATGAATACAGCTAATCAGATATTTGATAAATAAAACGCAATGGATAAACAGTTTGACTTTTTGCTGTGCATTTAAGGTTATGTGATTGATATGCACATTTGCTAGTAAGTATTCATTTAAATTGATACAGTTTTGCTTGTGCATACTTTTACTAAAGCAGGTACAGAAGCGTATGCAACTAGTAAAAGTTTAAATTTCATTACTTGTGAATACATTTACGTATCGAATCAGTATGTATATAATTGCCTAACATATGTATACATTTATAATTTAACACTTTGACTGTGACATAGACCCGTATTCAGAACGCGCTTTTGTCTCTGAAATTTTATAATATGCGTAACGTATAGTATGTTGGCACTAATATTATTATAAGCGCATTCTGAATAGGGGCGAATAACAAAGTCTAACCATACTTTAAAATTTATAACCTTACCTATGAAATTGTCGTGGCAATGAAGGACAATGTTCTTTCCCGCATATGCAGCAGCAAACCATTCTGCGTAATATATGAAATTTTAGTCATAGTTTTGTACATAATAATTAACAATATAATTTTATTAGTTAAATTTTAAATCTCATTTAGCAAACAATACTTTTTGATATATATATATTTAACCCAGAGAACATACGTACGAGATAATTTCTTTGTTTTTTGGTAAAATAATAATTGCTTTGGAATGTTAGAGTTCTAAGGTTTGTTTTTTTTCTCTGCACTGCTTGCACTAGTTCAAGAAGTGTACACTACGGCCATGGTCCGATTCATACTAACAACGCTCACGAGTATCTTTCGTCTTCGTTTAACATTTGACAAGCAACAAGGATGAAATGATTTTTAAGCGTTGTAAGCGTGAATCGGACCGCGGCCGTATTCTTTTTGTGTACACTGTAACGAAATGACGTCATGTATTCTGTTCTTTTTCGAGATGTAGCGATACTCAGTGCAAGAGTTCACTGTACAGGTAAATTTTCACGAGCTGCTCTACTGGGCTATTTAATAGCATTTTCGATTGGGGTGCACTGGCTGCACTCAGTGTCAAGAGCGTGTTCGATTGGCAGTGCCAATGCGCACTTGGCTAGTGTCACGTGTTCATTTGATCGCACGACACTCTCGTAGTGCGCACTCAGTGCGCACTAAGTGGCACGAGATATTTTGACGGTGCCAGTTCAGTGCACGTTTTATCACAGTTAAGGATATACATAGGGACAAGCAAATCTGCGCTTGTTGAATTGAAAACGGGGTCTTGTCCCTACTCTTAATATCTTTTACTGTGTTTTTGTAACATTTTGTTGAACATTGCTTCAAAGTGAACAAAAATGAGTTTCAGCTTTAGCACTGAAAATCTTGGCGTATTCTTCTGAACTTGCACTATTTAGTGCAACCCATGGAACTCGTCCAGTGTTGGTGTGAACTGAGTGCGCACTGGTGAGCACTAACTTTTGCCCAATCGAAAACGCTATTAGCGACAAAAAGGATCACGTGATCAAAATGGACATTTGATATTCGTCAATTTTGACCACGTGATTCTTTTTGTCGCTGAAAAAGCCGGTTTGAGCAGCCCATAAAAATTTACCTTATTGCTTGTACCAGGGGGTCTATTCTTGAAAAGAAATGTATACGAAAGTCTAGCGAAATACTATAGTATACGTAACGTATACTGTAGCATTTCCCTAGATTTTCGTATACGTTTCTTTTCAAGAATAGTGCCCCAGGTCTAAAGGCCCGTCTACAATACACGGAGTAAGAAGTAAGAGTAAGAAATTGACCAATCACAATCGAATGTGAGAAGAATACTCGACTGTGATTGGTCAATTTCTTACTCTTACTTCTTACTCCGTGCATTGTAGACGACACCTAACCTCGGATCTACAATAGGTGTTTTAAGCCTTAAGCCGTAAGAAATTGACCAATTACAGTCGAATTCGAGAAGAATAAGCGACTGTTATTCGCCCATTTCTTATGGCTTAAGGCTTAAAACCCTATTGTAGATCCGGACTAAAGCGGGGAGCACAGACTCTTGCATAACTCATAACACATGAGGCATAAGAAATTGAACCAACCAGAGTTCTCTATTACATGGAA